ATGGGAATGGAATACTTTAGTTGTCACTTTCAAATGCTCATACTGTTGTCCCTTTTCACTGTGTTGAGATTCCAATAGGTTTAGACCTCCTTCCATCTTCAAAATGAGTGAATTGATGATTGGTTGTGTGCAATGTTGTTTGATGTGATAAGGTGATCAAATTGTTTATCTGCTCGACTCCTAATGTGCTGCAGCTGCCTGTATTACTTTCTTACGGAGTGTTCTTAATGCCTCAACTAGTAGTGCATCGACATGCTGACACATCTGTAATCGAATTGTTGGTTAATTACTATGCGTCATAAGGCTTCCCAGCATATCATTGTTCACTTAATCTAGTGGAACAACGTTGATAGGTATTAGCCGCACTTAGTCACCTGATACACTTTTTAATCAATTAATTAGTTATTTGTGCTGCTATGCATGATCCTTGAGATGTTATGGCTTTATGGGATCTTATTTCATCTTTGAGCAGTTTGCACAACTAAGATTCCTATGGATTGCAGGTCTGTCATTGAAGTCCGCAATGGGTTCACATTCCTTGACCTTATTGTGATTCAAAGTGAGGTATTCTTCATTAACCTGAACATCTTTTCTTACTCTTTGGATATGGCAGTATCAGTCTATGCCTTATTAGTTTACATGTCTCTGCAGTCCCAGAACAAGAAGTATGGATGCTATGTCCCTTTACTTCTGATGAACTCTTTCAACACCCATGATGACACACAGAAGGTTCCGTATCCCCTTTGCTTGTCTTCATTAAATTGATGAGTTCTTAGACCTGTACTAACATGCTTTTGTGTTCATTAAACGACGAGTCTTAGACTTGTACTAACATGATTGCCGCTTACCTTTTCTCTTCCCTGAAGATTGTTGAGAAGTATTCCAACTCCAACATTGAAATTCATACTTTCAATCAGGTTTGTGGCATGTTTGTGTTATACTTCAACTACACTTATATTTCAATTATATGACATTCTGGAGTGGCATGCAATGTTAGCTGATAAATTTACTTTGTCTTCTACAGAGCCAGTATCCTCGCAGTATATCTGGGAAGGATGGCTGGTTAGTTTTCTCCCTTACTTGCTTCGTCCCAAATAATAAGTCATTCCAAGAATCTTGGAAAGTCAAAGTTTTTTAAGTTTGACCAAATATATGTACAACAACAACAACAACAACAACAAAGCCTTTAAGTCCCAAACAAGTTGGGGTAGGCTAAAGTTGAAACCCAGCAGAAGCAATAAAGGTTCAGGCACGTGAATAGCCGTTTTCCAAGCACTCCTATCTAAGGCTAAGTCTTTGGGTATATTCCATCCTTTCAAGTATCCTTTCATTGCATCTACCCAAGTCAACTTCGGTCTTCCTCTGCCTCTCTTCACGTTACTATCCTAGCTTAGGATTCCACTACGCACCGGTACCTCTGGATGTCTCCGTTGGACATGTCCAAACCATCTCAACCAGTGTTGGACAAGCTTTTCTTCAATTGGTGCTACCCATAATCTATCACGTATATCATCGTTCCGAACTCGATCCCTTCTTGTATGACCTCAAATCCAACGCAACATACGTATTTCCGCGACACTTATCTGTTGAACATGTCGTCTTTTCGTAGGCCAACATTCTGCACCATACAACATAGCAGGTCTAATCACCGTCCTATAAAACTTGCCCTTTAGCTTATGTGATACCCTTTTGTCATATAGGACACCAGATGCTTGGCGCCACTTCATACACCCTGCTTTGATTATATGGCTAACATCTTCATCAATATCCCCGTCTCTCTGTAGCATTGATCATAAATATCGAAAGGTATCCTTCCTAGGCACTACTTGACCTTCCAAACTAAATCTTTGTATTTCTCTTTATAATTTTGGTCAAACTTGAGATGCATTGACTCTCCAAGATTCTTGGAACGACTTATAATTTGGAACGGATGGAGTAGGTTATTGTAAAAGTCAAAATATTCTTCCAATGACTGCTACCAATGGAATCCTACTTTGCTTGTTTGATTATTTATGGTGAAGGCTTTTAGATATAGTTTGAACCATATTACTTTCAAAAAAAAAATTGAACCATACTTCATTTATAGCATATCTGCATAAATGCAATAGCCCCATCTGATTATTGTGATTTTTGATGTGAAAGGTATCCTCCAGGCCATGGTGATATGTTCCCCTCTTTGAATAACAGCGGAAAACTTGACATCTTATTGGCTCAGGTAAGCAGAAGTCGCATCAAGCTTCTCTCTGTAGTTGGCAAGCATAAGTGATCTGAAAACTGATTTTGTACTATGGTTTCCAGATATTAAATCTTTTTAGCTTTAGATTGCAGTTAAATATTAATTGCTATAGTCTTCTACATTACGAAGGGTTACTTCATGAAAAGGAAAATAAGTTATATTCCTTTACAATGTACTATTTTTGTGCATGATTCATAAATCATATTTCACTGTTTGAGGCCCTTCAATGCTTTCTATGTAAAGAGAGTGCAAGTTGTGGCAAAATAAAAGACAAGCTTGTTTCTGAGGCAATTGAATATTGAGGCTGTTTCTCTTTTCTTCCTGAGAAATATATACTGAAATAACTATGCAACTTCCAGAACCTTTTTATGGACTAATAAATGAGACCACAATAGTACAGCAGTACACTGATAGCTTTAACTGAGCATTTATCTTGTTGTTTTGCTAATCTGTTTCCCAATCCTATATCAGGACAAGGAGTATGTCTTCGTTGCAAACTCAGACAACTTGGGTGCTATTGTCGACATCAGTATCCAAATAGAATGATCAAATTTGCATAATTTATTTCCTGTTTTACTACTTACTATTGCCATGTGCTTTGAATTGAAAATTGTATCCTTAATCAGCACAGAGATCTTAAACCATCTGATCAATAACCAGAACGAGTACTGCATGGAGGTATGCAAGAATGTCTTGTTTATACTGCTGTTGAGTTTGTGCAACATAAAACTCAAGAACTGTATTTATTCTAGGTAACTCCAAAGATGCTGGCTGATGTTAAGGGCGGTACTCTCATCTCTTACGAAGGAAGAGTTCAGGTACACAGTACACTTGTCTGTTGCTCAACTTGAATAAAGAACTGTATTTATTCTAGGTAACTCCAAAGATGCTGGCTGATGTTAAGGGCGGTACTCTCATCTCTTACGAAGGAAGAGTTCAGGTACACAGTACACTTGTCTGTTGCTCAACTTGAATAATTTCTCTGCACACTGCTAGTTTATTGCCCATCTTTACTGGTTTCGACATCAAAAAGAGGTTTTTGAGCCTTTAAGTACTCGAAAGTTAGAACTTTGTATTTATGACAGACAATTATGCTTACTTGTTCATTGTGGGATTCTAGAATAAGATGATACTCATTCATTTTATGATATTTATGCAGCTTTTGGAGATTGCCCAAGTACCTGATGAGCATGTATGTTGCTGTTTCTGTGTTACTTTTTCATAATCTGTTCCATGATTTCATCGGCCTTTTGTAGTAAGAGCTAACACAACCTTTTCTATTTCTCTTGTATCTCTATACAGGTGAATGAATTTAAATCAATCGAGAAGTTTAAGATATTCAACACTAACAACTTGTAAGAAACCTGGCCTGCCTTTTAAGGGGAAAAAATCTCTTTCTCTAACATTTCTTGCCCAACAGGTGGGTGAACCTTAAAGCTATTAAGAGACTCATAGAGGCTGAGGCACTTAAGATGGAAATTATTCCAAACCCCAAGGTATGTCACCTATCTGAATCTTTATGATATCCTTTGCATAGCATTTATATTGTAGTGCATCAATCAGATTCTTTGTTGAGTGATATTACAAACGTTGGGTTCTTCTACTAAGAAGTTGGCATTTACAGGCAGTTGATGGTGTGAAAGTCCTTCAACTCGAAACTGCAGCTGGTGCAGCTATTCGGGTACGCAAACAACTCCCTGTCCCAGTACTCAGTTTTGTTCCATTTTTTCCTTATATTCGAGCTCTGATACTTTTGTTACCTTTAACTAGTTCTTCGACAAAGCGATTGGAATTAATGTTCCTCGCTCAAGGTTTCTCCCAGTGAAGGCTACATCTGACTTGTTGCTTGTGCAGCTATTTCTGGATGATCTCAATGTTTTGTTAGTCTGATATCATAGTAAGCCTGGTTCTAAGCTCCATTTTGTTGATGGCTCAATGCTATGCTCATTTTTGTTTCCACAGTCTGATCTTTACACCTTGGTTGATGGCTTTGTCATCCGCAACCCATCCAGAGCGAATCCAGCTAACCCTTCGATTGAGCTTGGACCTGAGTCCAAGAAGGTAAAGCAGTTTGTCTCCAAGATAATGAAAATATCTTTAAAAACAGAGTAATGTGTTGATGAAACCATTTTTTTTAACGTAAACTGGCAGGAACTGCCGTTTATATTTAATTAATATAGGGGAAATGCTGATGAAACCATTGATCAGTAAAAACTGCCACTCCTTTCAACTGGTGTTGATCACCAAGCACTGATGAAATATTTTCCCCCTAATACGGGTTGCCAATTTCCTTGCTCGGTTCAAGTCCATCCCCAGCATCGTCGAGCTTGACAGCTTGAAGGTTTCTGGTGATGTCTGGTTTGGCTCTGGAATTACACTCAAGGTAAACTTTGTGATTGGATGGTTCTTCTTTCTCCTTTGTTGCCATATTTGCCGCTTAGGCACTGTATAACGTTGTATTTGGACACGAATACCTGGTGCAAATTTTGTCAGCTGTTTGTCTGATATGGTCTTGTATCTGGTCATTCCACTCCATACCGCCTCCTCGTTGAGTTGTGGCATCTGTGTTACTGAATAGTGCCTGATTCATATTTTTGGTGCTATCCCTAGGGCAAGGTGACAATCACTGCGAAGTCTGGAGCGAAGTTGGAGATTCCAGATGGAGCTGTACTTGAGAACAAGGTATAAGCAACACCTCATCGATATGACATTTCCAACTGCTGTGCTTTAGTGTGCGCTGACACATGGTTTCTGCTCTCTCCAGGATGTCAATGGCCCTGAGGATCTTTAAGCGGTGCTTGCCGTCGCCAGTTTTTCCCAAGGACGTGTCACAGGAGCTGCCAACCCTAATCACTCCACTGAGCTCTATTTTTTGTAATTTTCATGTGCATTCTGCTTCCGCTGTGAGGGTCCTGTGAGCCCGCTAGAGAATAATTGTGATCTTCTTTGGTGCGTCTGTACTTCTGTTTTTGGTGCGCCAGGGACGTATATTTTGCTGAAATGATACTACCATAGCTTTGCATCCCGTTGTATGATTCTTACATTACCGGGAGCCTGGTGCTCGAGAATATATATTCCCAAGGTGATAAGTGCCGTCATGCGGGACACTTATCGCGCGAATGGCGCTTGTGGTCCGGGACCTTGCGGAGTTCCTCGCCTGCTTGTTCGAATCGAATGTGCTTGATAAAGCGGGATCCATCCAGCCCGGATACACTACCAGCCGGCAATCCCGTTATCCCAATTCTGCAGGTTTTTTCCCTCGGTGGTGACCTGAATAAACTGCAGTGACTCAAAGCCATGGTCTCACTAAGCCATCGTGCTCCTAGAGCCGGGTAAATTGGCTGCACGTGTACAATGCTTATAAAACCATCCAGATTTGTTCTAGGTCAAACTAACAAAGAATATCTAAAAATTTGCACAGACTGTCAGCGCAAGATCGACATACTATATAACTATATATTCGCAAAAGGAAAAAAGAAGATTGACATGCTATATTCATAATCAAGGGCTCAAGAGTAATTAATTCTAATACAGTAGTATACTACTTTTCATGCAAGGTAAGAGATACTCCTTTCGTCCAGAATTCTAGCACAGTACAAGTTAAACAGTACAGTTAAAGTATTTTGAGTTTAACTAACTATATATAAAAAACATCAATATTTATAATATTAAATAGTATTGTTAGATTTGTGTTGAGATATATTTTCATACTATACTTATTTTGGTGCCATAAACGTTAATATTTTTACCTATATATTTGGTAACTTTTTTAAACAAAGAATGCACCTAAAATTGTATAATTTTCTTAGATGGGGGGAGTACTTTCCTAACTTACCAAGAATAAATTCTGTACCATTGGCAATACAAGGTTTACATCTATATTCATAATCAAACCTAATCTTATAATATTTGAGTTTTCATTCAAGTAATTATTTTAGAGATATTGCTAGTCAAAGTTCTTTTTCCTTTTGACTTCGATGAACAAACTTGATGGACTTGTATACCTGTCACAAGACGAAGTATACTTTCAGCTGTTTTGAGGGTGCAAATAATCACGAACGAGCAAGGCTGCACATGTATTCAGCGCTCAGTTCGATCTGAAGATAAAAGATGATGCAACACAAGCTTTACAACTGAAATGGTTGAAGAGCTCACAGGATTCAATTGTAACCAGATTACAGCATGTGGTCACTGAAGAAGCGCCACAACCATGGCATGCAGGATAGCTCAGTCCTACACCCAAGATTTACTGCACTACGATACAATTATCAGTCCTCCCATGAGATCCAAATGCAGAATCTCCTAAAAAGGTTAAACCAGGCTTTACGATACTGAATCATTTACAGTTCCAGCACCTACTTTAAATTTGTTCCAATCTGCAGGGAGGCGCCAAACAAGGCTCCAATGGGGGTTCAACAGACAAGACTGGCCGATCTGATGGCAATGTTTTCACTGTGTTGCCTTGTGCCTGTTGTATGCCAAAACCATTCCCCTCAATCGCAAAAGGTTTAGAACTTTTCAACCTCACACAGCAATATGGTTATCGATATCGAAACTCCGAAGATCTGAAGGGCTGGCTCCTAACCTGTAAACCAAGTTGCATAACACAAGTTATAGACAACATAGGAAACTAGAGCAGGATTCGTAAACTTGAACATGCTGCAAGATTGGCTTATAGGTGAGTGCTGCAGAAAATTTGCAGTGAGACATCAACAGACCACATAGGAAACTAGAGCAAGATTCATAAACTTCCTAAGTTGTAAAAGCCATCAGAATTATGAACGATGACAATGATCAGTTACTACAAAAAGGGATGATTTACCTTTTGTTTATAGTGCAATAGTGAAATTTGATGCTTCCAGACTTCACATCTTCAGTATACTGTGACAAATAGTAGACATGTTTAAAGCATTTAGTGTAAAACCTATAGACGACCAGAGCAAATGTGGAGCAGGCAGGGAGACATCAGGGAGGGGGCATACCATCCTTAAGGTGACAATGATTGAAGAAAATGCTAGAGAATCAAATGGTATATCATCCAGAGCAAAAAGTGCACATTCTAGCGACTCCGGTCCAGGTGAAAAGTTGGGCGTCTTCAGTCTTGCTCGGAAAATAATGTAACTCTACTGCATCTCATCGTAATACAAAGATAATCAACTAAGTAGTGGACGGAGTAACTTATAACTTTGTGACTATGCCAAATTTTCACTCACTTGGCCAATCAGTGGAATATCCAACTGAGCAAAAGGTGAGATTATCTCTACATCTGCACATGCTTCTTCCAATGTTTCTCTAGAGGCTCCTTCAGCAGTAGACTCCCCCACCTCTAAATAACCAGCAGGAAGTGTCCTGTTAATGTAACCTTGATCAAACTGGAGGACAGCAGTACATGATTGCTATGTTCAACAATAAAAAAAAATTGTTCATGGTGCGCAAGACTAAGAAAAGTTTTGACAGAAAGAACATGAAATTGGTACTGTAATGATTGGTACCACATTAAAAGATAAGAAAAGCATAATCCTATCAGCTAGGGAGTTTGTAAATGAAAACAGAAAAGAGCCATTCCTAACACAAAGAAGAAAATAAAAACAATACAGAAAACCTATATTATAATATGGCGTCGTATCCTAAACAGTACAGGCAAAAAGTTCTGGCTAACATATACTGCAAATCTGCATCTGTTGTACATAGTCAAAAATTGTTGCATGAGAATATAAAAACATAGTACAGTTATGCAATTAACTATTATAGCGCAGACTAAAATCAGAACAAAAAATCGAAGGGAAAACATCAAAGGGAACTTACCAAAGACCATAAGCCGGTTCAATCTTTCTTCTGCATAGGAGAACCTTATTATCATGCTCCACAAGGCAACCAACAACCTATCCAGATGGTATATATTGTAAATGTCAGAAATTAACAGCCAACACATGTTACACATATATAACAAAAAAATTCATTGCTAGTTATAGTCCCTTGTTTACGTTAAAAAAAAGTTATAGTCCCTTGTTTCACCAATCAGTTAAATAAATGTATGAAGAAAATGGAGCAGTTCTGTTCGTTAGAAGCACTTCATACATGAATGAAAAACACGGGCTCTATGAATCAAGCAAATCAATGTCTTGATTTAAAGTACAAATCCAAATGCATATGCATCATTTTATTTTTCTTTTATTTGTTCAGCACATACCATTTTTGGGTTTTCGTAGTGAACTCTTCCACAAGAAGAACAAACAGCCCTCATCTTCTCATCACCATCAGGTATGGCCAATTTCGTCGGACTTCCACAAGCAGGGCAGAATTTGATCTTTGACTTGTGCACCTGCAGAAGGAACGGTTTGCTGAGAGGCCTTTAACATTTTTTCTTCACAACAACAGTTAAATCAGTGTATATGTCTCAGGAAATAAACATTGCAGAGTCATGACACTTGTGCGGATTGGTACTGATCACTTGACAGTTAGCAGTCAGACTAATGCATATTTAACCTTGCGCAGTCCAGGAGAACTGACACGGAACTTTGCTGTGGTCTGGATGCCACAGCATTAGACAGAGTAGATGATTGTATTGTACTAGCATAGAAAACACTGCGATTTTACTAGAGAGCACATCGGCCGTTTTGGGCTGCATCGGAAGCCAATCCCATTTGGCAATTGGCACGGTCACTACTCACTGTATTGAGTGAACGCCCTAACCGATTCAGGAAGCACGCATCTCACTCCTAAGATATTACTGCTACGACTACGATTAGCGGACTGACCGCAGCGCAGCACAATAGAGCGGCACGAGGAGCAGCACCGAAGGGGGACGGGGAACTCACCACGGCAGCAGGCGGCGCCGGGGCAGGGGAGCTGGCGCCGGAGCCGGACGAGGCCGCCATGCGAACAGCCGGGGAGCGCGCGAGCGGGAGCGGGAGCGCGTCGCGGTGGAGGAGCAGGCGGGTGCGCGGGGAGGAAAAGCGCGCGGCGCGGTGGAGGAGCGGGCGGGATCTGAGAAGGGGGAGGAGCATGGTGGGGGGTGCGCGGCCGTGCGGGCTCGGCTTTAGTAGCGTGTAGCGGAGGCGGGGTTGGTGGCGGGCGCGGTAGGGTGGGGGGATCGAGCCGAGCGAGGGCAGGCAATGGCGACTCGGGGCCGCCGGGCGGGAGGGTGAGGCCTGAGGTCGGCCGCCCAACACGTTGCGCCGCGGGATTGGTCGACGCGCGGTTTACGTGGTACGGTTGGGAGAAAGATTGGTTGAGCTGGCGTGCGAGGTTTATCCATGATTCGTCGAACTGTGCCTCCTAATATTTAAAAAAACTTGTACCTTCCATCCACTATTTTATTATTAAACAAAAATATATTAGTACTTAATAGTTTGGTTTCTCTAAGGATTTGTTTCTATTGAAGGATTTTTATAGAAATTTAAAAAGAAATCATATTTTGCTTAGGTCATATGATGTTTAGTACGAAGGAATGAAATTTTCTTTTCATACGAAAAGGCTTGCTTTCCGGCCATTTATCAAATAGAGTAAATAAAATATGCACTTCAAGCTCTTTGATAAATTTTCCTACGTACCAATGGAAGAATGAACAAGTCCTTGTTCACTAGAATGGAATATTTCTGTGTTCTAAACATCCATTGCCATAAAATTGTTCTATTTTTCAATCCTCTCTGTACCTACATCTATTTTCTATTTCTGTGTTTTCTATTTTGCATTTCTCTATTCCAACCACGCCTTAAAGTACGGAGTAAACTCTCGATAGACTGTCATGGCATGTGAGAACAAGACTGAAGACATAAACCACAGATTAGA